ATTGATCATAAAGAAAAGAGTTTTAGCTATGAGATATTGGATTGTAATATTGGAGTTAAGTCGTATGTTGCAAATGTGAAGATTGATCCCTTGGCGGCCGGAGAAAATGGTGGCGGATGTCGGATAGAGTGGCGGTTTTCTGTGGATCCGGTAGAAGGCTGGAGTTTGGAAGATATGGTAAGCAATTATGAAGTATGGTTGAAGATTATGGTTAAGAATATGGAGGCGGCCGTGCCCAAATAAATACCTGAAATGGTACTTTTAAACGGGACTAAACGTGCTCAATATATTATTTCCAAATTTTCTGTTTTATTTGAATAAGTTTTCGTTCAGTAGTTTCTGGTTCTGTAATCGAAATGAAAATAAGACTCGTAAAATAAGATGTTATTTGATCGAACGAAGAAAGTCCTATATTGGGTTTAGTTTAAAAAAGGCCTATCCTATATATGAATTTATTCTGCATATTTTGGGAAACAGTGCATTCCCGCCTTTTCCTTGTCACATGAAATAGATTTACAGTCTGTTTGGAAGTTATTTTGATAATTGAATTTTTGTTCGTTAAGAGAAAAGTGAGATCCACCTGTGAGAGAAGAAGTCAAATATGATGACTTAAATAGTGTAATAACGGTTAAAAAATTAATTTTTTAGAGAAAAACATCACTCCCAAACATGCTCTTATTTTTTCAAGATTTATTTAAAGGTGATACTGATTGTGAAATTTGAATGCAAGATTTTCACTAGTTTTTCTATTAAAACGATGCATTAAAAAAATTAACCTTTTAATAAAGAATATATTTTGTTCTCCGGCCACGTCTCACTTTCAAGTCACTTAGAGTGAATTTAATAGATGAGAAGGAACTATATTTTGTATGGTATCAATAGATGATTTATAGTTTAGAGCATAGGGCTCAATGCTGTGTGTGGCTTGTACAAGTTGTAAATAGGATCTTGGTATATTTTATTGCATCGACATCAAGTCCACTCTAAGTGAAGCTTCAACTTGAAGCAGCCAATGGTTGGATGAACCCGAGCCTTTTCGCTTTGGTATTCTTTAGTTTTGATTGTTATATTACTGTTTTGATTATTGTGAGTTACAATTTCATTATACGACTATACTAAACATAATAGTGGCATCAAAGCGTTTTGGGGCTTTGATAATGTAATTCTTCATTGGTGATTCATGCAAATTAGAAAAGGGATTTGCAATTGGATGAGAAGTTGATTCAATTTAGGGTGAAAAGCATAGGCCTTAAGAAAAAATAGCAATAGATCCCCCTTGGGGGAGAAGAACATGAACCCTAAGGGGCTTCTCATGAAACCTACTACAACTTGGTAATTTGGGGTCGCAATTAATGAACACTGGGTGATCGCTCCATGAAATCTGAATCTTTTAGGTTTTAGCACATATACTGCCTTCTATTCATGTGAGTTCTGTTAAGATTTGAGGTTTCATCTTAAAATGACGATCTTATTAAGAGGAGTAACTCAAGAGCTTATAAGTTGGTATATGTTTTTATCTTTAATCGATGTGAGATTTTATCCCTTAACATACCCTCACAAGATAGTGGCTCGTTTGAGCAGACCAATTTTGAAATCCATTTTTTCATTTCTTGGGGTTCAATCTTAAAATATCGATCTTATTAAGAGGAGTAACTCAATATCTTATAAGTTGATATATGTTTTTATCTTTAATCGATGTGGGATTTTATTCCTTAACAGGTTCTTGATTCATGATCTACAAAGAAATTTGACTCCTTGTTGTTTCTAGTTATAATATGATAAGTTTATATACATGAACGATGGTTTTCAAGTAATTGTGTGTGATTAGTGGTATTTTTGACTTGTTCTTGTTATACAATTAGTTTAGTTCATAATACCTTCTTTCTTTTAAAATAAAAATAACTTTAAAAAACTAAATTTAAAAATAAGTAATTAAAATATAATTCAACTTGTATTTAAGCACATCCAAACGTGGACATATCTACCGTCCATGAATGGTAAACATACGGATACGGTAGCACAAAAGATACGCGTACGAGGGGAAGTTGGAAACGCGAAAAGATGTTGTCCGTGAGCCGGCCTGAGTGTGAGCCGACAGCTTATATCGGGCCATGCTAAAGTGGCGTAAAAATAGAGATCTAGGCCCATTGGCCCGGGTTAATAGGGGACCATTTTACGATACCCCCTAAGTCAATATACAATAAATGTTATTATTTTTATTTTTTTATTAGGTAGATATGACTTTTCCCTACTGCAAAATGCAAATGCATTCGCCTGGTCAAAGTATTCCACGGGGAGTAATTTTGTGGATCCTAACAATGGAAAAGTGGATTTTGTAATAAGCCTTGAGCTCACAACTTGTAGTTAATCTCGCAATTTATAAGCCGAATAAGTTGTCATATTTTCAGTCCACCCAATTATAGGCCTCAATGCTTATAATAAAATCAATTATTCTTTGAGAATAACGATATTTAACACCAGTGTAGATGAAACTCATATTTAATTATTTAATGAATCAAAATGCACTATAATTTCACTGGACAATTAAATATGAGCACATTGCTACCTAAACTGGTTCTAGATAGCAATATTCATTCATCGAACATGTTTTGAGTAACATTATTTATGACTGATAGTGTTCAACGCTAGTTTAAATGGCATTACATCCATACTCAATCATTGGTGATTACTGTCACCTCGTAAGTTGTGATACATTTTTGTTCATTGTATAATGTAACAGTGGTATCATGGTTACATGAACAAAAAAGGAACATAAGTGGTGATTAGCATGATTTAAAATGAAAATACAATTGATCACGAATTTTATAGTGCGAGCTCCACTGCCATATGGAAGGATGTTGAACACCACTAACGTTATTATTCGAATGAAAATGGATATTAATTTTAGTTTTTTGGCTTATTAGATGAATGGGTTAGCTGATTGTGACCCGTTTATTCGATCTATTGTTTACTTGTTCAAACCCTAAATTCGTCAATTTGTCACTCCTACATATTTTGATATATTGCAATATATTTGTGGAGCTTGCTCCGACGATAATTGAACTTTGAAAGATCATCAACACATTTGTATTAAAGTACGAAAAAAATTTCAGATAACACATAATAATATTGCATACATTTCATCCAATATGGTACTGTACTACTATTAATTCCTTTTTTCAGTCCTTCTGTTGGGTGACAAATTTTTAAAAAGGCAGACACTTGACGAATTCTTGTTGAAAGTTCAAATAAAATAATAAAAAAACTGCTGATTAGAGGACTGACATTTCAATCCTTGGAACGTGCTCCTATCAGTGAACCTATTCGTTTGGCTTAATCCTTTCGTATTTTGTCATTAATCTATGCCACGTGACCTGGGGCAAGGAGGACTCAGTTGGCACGTGGTCCTTGCCTCGGAAGGAAGGAAGCATCGAGGAAAAGCCAAAATGTAATTAGATGCTTGCCACATGGGGTACTAACTACCGTACTCTTTTCGCTTTGACAATCACATGGTCAACCGACAATTTCACGTTGGAGGCCCCCCAAGGCACATCCGAGTTGGTGGAACAATCATTTCGCTGGGACGCTGGAAGCAAGGGTGGAGAGTTCGATTCCTGGAGTTAACACTGGGAGCCATTGGTGTGAACAAACGCCCAGTGAGGAGAGCTCTCTTTGCGGAAAGAGTCCAAATGAGTTGTGGGAACCTGGGAGCCAATAAGGGCACATCTTGCGATTTACCTCCCTGAGCTGCTGAGGGGCCGGAGGTTCAGGGACAAGGATCTAGTCGGACGCAAGCCCGAGATTGCAGACTGCGGAGGATTAGTTAGTTAATTAATTAATTAATTTTGTTGAGTGATTTAAACAGAAACATGTGAAAAAGCTGCATAACACTTTGAAACCTTTAAGCATATCAACAACAGATTTGATCAATGGTCCATAGATTTGGTTTAGCTTAAAGAGTTCACTTATAAGAAAAATGGAGATTTCAAAATAAATAATTTTTTATTGATCGAAAGTTGCTTATTTTAAAAAATAAAAAAATATTTTTTATAACTATATAATTTTATTTAAATTAACCATCCAATTATATTTGAAAACTACTTTTTAAAATTGTAGCCAAACAGTTTCTTAGTGCCCTTTTTTTAATACGCGGAATAGGTAACATAGGAATTAATTGTTTTTCCATGACACTTAAACCCACAGGTGTTAATTCTTAATAAATTAGTTTGATAAGTGGATAATAGATGTGAATGTTTGATTAAAATCAAAATTTGACAAAAAGTTATAAGTATTTTATAATATTTATATGGTCGACAAAATCTGCTAGTAGCCATTTATTTTGCTTTTTCAAGTCAATCAAGCGTTTGAAGTTTCAAATTGTTAGAGTTTTCCAATAAGGTTGATACGTTGGGTAATTGGCGCAAAACGTCCCTACCTTTCAGCTTAATTGTGGAAAACGTCCTCACCTTTCATTTTTTGATATTTTTTTCCCTCAAATCAACATTTCGTTGCGATGAAGGTCCTTCCATCCAAGTTCCATCCATTTTGCCGTTAATTAAAGAGAGAGAACCAATTTTTTTCCACTCATCAGGGGTAAAACTGTCTCACCAATTGAAAACCCTTATTTTCTTAATTTCCTTCTTCACACTTCACAGTCCGAACGATTCCCATTCCACTCTCTCTCGGTTCTTCGAAAATTCTCATTTATCTCCCATTTCAACAATTATTGCTCTATTCTCCTCTCGTATGGTCGCATACCAGCAGCCGGTATAGTGGAAGCTCGCGTTGGGAGTTTGTCTAGCGAGCGACGTCGAGTAAGAATAATTACCTATTGGGAAAATTACAAATTTCAACACTACTTTAGAGGATTTTTATTTGAAAAATTTTGGTTCACTGTTTAAATATGCTTCCGAATTGATGGAACTCAATTCCCATACAGCATTCATATTATAGGGCCTAATATTACTTTCTTCGGTACTGGAAGAAACTATTCTTACTTGTCACTGGCAAATATTACAAGTCTTGTGCATTCTCCTTTCGTCCTTCTCCCTCGTGTTGACACTTTTCGAATCTTCTCATGTCTAATTTTTTGTCTAATATATATTCATCATGAATGCAGGAACTACTAAAATCGGAAAGGCTCCAGAAGGAGCTCACAGAACGTTATGGGGCCAGCTTACTTTTGCTCAATGGGCTGCTGCGGTCGGCGTTGATCAGAAAACCTTGAGGGAGCGTTTAAATTATGGTATTCTTTGCAAAGATAAAATGATAAAGAGCAATATACGTCTTGTTATTTCTATTGCAAAAAATTATCAGGGAGTTGGGATGAACCTTCAAGATTTGGTTCAGGTAATCATTTTCTTCGTTGGTCTTGATTATCTAACTTAAGGTGTTTCCTGCAAGAAAAACTGTAAAATTGATAGTATGATGTTTGATTCCTTTCTAACACTACATTTTTAACAAATTTTCATCAGGAAGGATGCCGAGGCCTTGTGAGAGGTGCAGAGAAATTTGATGCTTCAAAAGGGTTAAAATTCTCCATCTACGCTCACTGGTGGATAAAGCAGGCTGTTCGGAAGTCTCTTTCTGACCAATCCAGGACAATTCAATTGTCGGTAAAATTCCTGTAAAATTAATTTCTTTACAAGTAAATTTCATATTCCATTTTTCTTGTGCTGCAAAGGAAGATGTTACACAATTATTCATTCTTGAAAAAAAATCACCTGTTGTTCCATTTGGGTGTGGTACAATTTAATTTGTAATTTTGTCTGCACATTTGAAATGAATTGTATCTATTTTTACTTTAGTTTTCGGTTATTTTTGCTTCAGCAGGTAGTGGATATTTTTGTTTCAGTTTTCGATTGATTGGTGGATGAATTGTGTCTCAAATTCTGCGATAGAATTGTATATTTAGGGACTTTTGAGTTGGTGTATATCAACATGTGGTATATGGAAGAAAACGGGGAATTCTCTCGCCAAATATTTTCTAAAAGTTAGGGACGTTATTAGCAAATAATTCTAAAAGGTAGGGACTTTACTCGCCAAACTTTTTATAGGTAGGGATGTTTTAAGCCAAAATTATAACTACGTAGGAATTATTAGCGCAAGGTTTTTTCGATTCCCAGAAGAAGTGAACAGGACCCGTTCATCTTCATCAATAAGCCAAAATGGGTCATGCACCATTGAATTGATACATAGAACCGATACATACTTCACAATACCCATCTCCACTCGATCTCCTCAATTTACCCCGTGGTCACAATAAGCATTAACTAGAAATAAATATCTAGCAGTCATCTCTATAAATTGACCACCCATTCAATATATATCTTACTACATTTTTCCAGAAACCCAACATAAAAGCAGCGGTGATGGTCAGATTTTACCACTATATATGCTCTTTAATTAACGACATTTTCCCCCTTATTTAATGTAATAATTTAAAATATTTTCACACCCATTTTTCAGCTACTGTTATATATATGGACTACGTAGAAGGCGGGAATAAGGGGTTCAATGGGTGAGACGGTTTTACCCCTGCCGAGTGGAAAAAAATTGGTTCTCTCTCTTTAATTAACAGCAAAATGGATGGAACTTGGACGGAAGGATCTTTATCGCAACGAAAGGTTGATTTGAGGGCAAAAATGTCAAAAAATGAAAGGTGAGGACGTTTTTCACAATTAAGTTGAAACGCAGGGACGTTTTGCGCCAATTACCTTTGATACTTTTAACTCTCTCTCTCTCTCTCTCTCTCTCTCTCTCTCTCTCTCTATATATATATATATATATATATATATATATATATATATATATAAAATTCAAAACAACAAATGAAATAATATTATTTTGAATCCGCTTCTATTGAAATATTTCCTAGAATTTTTAGAAAATCATTCTTAAAAATAAGAAAAAAATCGTATGAAGAATGAAGACAGGACAAAACATAACAAAAACAGGATAATGATTTTATTATTCTCTTCTACCTTATTTTATCTTTTCTTTTCTTTCTTCATTTTTCTATGGTCAATTAATGACAGCATTAACACCTTATCTTGTGACATTGGGGATTGGTGTCATACACGTAGAAAGCCCGTCCATGTTAATTTGTTTTTTATTTTTATTTAGTGTATTAGTAATACAAAGCCCGTCCATGTTAATTTGAATCAAGATTTCTTAAAAGGCAAAACTGCAACTACCATCTTTGCATGCTTCGTACTAAACCTGACCAACATCCATTCTATCTCTTACATTTTTGATAGTCTATCGTTGCCTCAATAATCAATAACATATTTCAACCCTCATTACTTGGAAGTGAGCCAACGGTTCAGGTACTATATATTATCATTATTATTTGGACAATTAGACATCCAACCTGTAAATAATCTAATTGCAAGATTGGAGCTTTACCAATCAAGCTTTCTCTCTCCGAGCTAAGAACTTATATGGAGTAATCAGATTCTTCTCCTATTCTTTTTCTAAAGTCATCATTGACTTGAACTAGAGACCTGGACTATGAAGTAAATAGTTATACTTATGGTCCAACCAATTGCTCAATTCTTTTAGGTTTTAGCACATATACTGCCTTCTATTCATGTAAGTTCTGTTAAGATTTGAGATTCCATTTTAAAATGTAAACCTTATTAAGAGGAGTAACACAAGATCTTATAAGTTTGTCTATATTTTTATTTTTAATCGATGTGAGATTTTATCCCTTAACATATCCTCACAAGAAAATGTCTCGTTTGAGCAAATCAATATTAAAATCCATTTTCTCGTTTCTTGGGGTTCAATAGTAAAATATTGACTTTATTAAGAAGAGTAAATCAATACCTTATAAGTTGGTATATATTTTTATCTTTAATCGATATTGGATTTTATCCCTTAATAGGTTCTTGATTCATGATCTATGAAGAAATTTGACTCCCTGTTGTTTCTATTTATAATATGATAAGTTTATATACATGAACTATGGTTTTCAAGTAATCGTGTGTGATTAGTGGTATTTTTGACTTGTTCTTGGTATAAAATTAGTTTAGAGTATGTTTGATAGGGTTAAATTTTTCATGTAAAATAAAATTTGAACAATATTTTTCAACTTTATCGTGTTTGATAGGTTTATTTTTTTCCATGGAATTGAAGTTCTGGCTTTTCTTGAACTTTGGAATTTTCTTGGTTCTTAACAAATTTTAAAAATTATTGTAAAAGAAGATTTCTCTTTAATTGACAATTTTTATGTAAAACAAAGTTAAATGAACACTAAAAGATAGATGATTTTATGGAGATTTTTTTTTTGGCAATGAAAATAAATTTCATCTCCAATACTAGCAAATTATATCCCTTTAATTGACAATTTTTATGTAAAATAAAGTCAAACGAACACAAAAAAATATTTTTTATTTCAAAAATTTTCACGTAGAAAATTATACCAACCAAACACAATAATTTACAATTCTCAAGAAAACAATTTCTAGACAATTCAATTACTTGATCAATGTAATTTAAGTTTAAGCCTCGAGTACTAATTGTTATCTCTCTTCCCATTTGAATTTGCCATGTCTACATATATAAATATAGTAGTGGCCCAATTTTCATACTCATTATCATGATGAAATTAAGAATTATTATACCAAGTTATTTTCTATCCCTACTCACTTCTTCTTTACTCACTATATTTTCCCCCAAATCTATTTTATACAATCTTTAATAATGTACGCTAAGTAAACTAAAACTTAATATATCTTGAGCTAGTTTATAAATTTTAAAATTTCCAAAGTTGAGATTTTGAAATAGAAAAATTATAATTTATCTTCCTTGATTTTATTAGTTAAACTTAACTATAATATTATCTTTTATCAATTATTAAAGAACCCTAGAGCAACAAATTTTAATTCTTATTTATAAACCAAATAAGTACTTAAAATAAATAAATAATTAACTAAAGAAAATTTAAAATAATTAACTTAATGAAAAGACATACCTTAATGAGTGAAAATGATGGGAAGAATGATATATCACATTTCACAACTATCCTCTATTTATAGTTGATGATAGCGGTTTAGTGTACAATTTATGAAATTGCACATCTAACCCCCATGATAATGTGCAATCATTTGATTGAATTTTAAAATTACATTTTTAGACTTTGGACCACATATGCAATTATTTCTTTGTTTATAAAATTGCACCTTTAACCCATGGACAAATATGCAATTATAAAATTGTATTTTCAATCCCCATAATATTATTTTAAGTACAATTCATAATAACATTTATTCTATCATTAAATTAAGTCCCTAAAATTAAAAACAAACTCCCTAAAATATTAAAAATCTTTACTAGGAAATTTTGGGATGTTACATTACTCCCCAATTAAAGAAATTTCGTCCTCGAAATTTAAAACTTACCAAATAATTTCGGATATTTAATATTCGTATCTTCTTCCCGTTCCCATGTTGCTTCTTGTGAAGTTTGATTTCTCCACAAAACTTTGACAAGTAGAATACGTTTATTTCTTAATTGTTTGACCTCTCGGAGTAAAATTTTTACTAGTCTTTCTTTATAGGTTAAATTAGTTTTCAGATCCATTGGGTTATCTGGCAATATATATGAAGCATCTGGAACATACTTTCGAAGAGTAGAGACATGAAACACATTGTGAACTCAATCCATTGAAGCTGGTAAGTTCAACTTATAGGCCACTTTGCCAATTCATTTCAAAATTTCAAATGGACCAATATATCTGGGACTAAGTTTTCCCTTTTTTCCAAATCTAAATACCCTTTTCATTGGTGCAACTTTCAAGAACACTTTGTCTCCGATTGTGAATTCTAATGGTCTCCTTCGTCTATCAGCATACTTCTTTTGACGATCATAAGTGGTAGCAAGGCGTTGGTGGATATTTTTTACTGCATCAACCATATCTCGCACTAGTTCTGGCCCTAAAACTTGTTTCTCTTCAATTTTATCCCCATGTATAGGCTATCTACACTTGCGGCCATATAAAACCTCAAAAGGAGCCATTCCAATTGAAGATTGATAACTATTAGTATAGGCAAATTCTATCAAAGGTAAATACTTGTTCTATTTTTTTGGAAAATCTAAAGTTCAAGTGCGTAACATATCTTCTAATATTTGGATGGTTTGTTCCGATTGGCCGTCTGTTTGAGAATGAAATGCTGTACTAAAGGAAAGTCGAGTACCTAAAGCTGGGTGTAGCCCTTTCCAAAATGCAGATAAGAATCAAGGATCCCGATCAGATACTATTGATGTTGGAATACCATGTAGACGTACAATTTCTTGTACATATACTTGAGCTTATTGTTCCAAGGTAAAAGTGGTTCGAACAGGTAAAAAGTGCATCGACTTAGTTAGTCGATCCACTATAACCCAAATAGCATCGTAATTCTTTTTTGCTCGAGACAATCCCACCACAAAATCCATCGTAATCTTTTCCCGTATCCATTAAGGTATTTACAATGGTTGAAGAAGTCCTATTGGACGTTGATGTTCAGCTTTAACTTGTTGACAAGTCAGATACTTACTCACATATTCTGAGATGTGACGTTTCATTATTGGCCACTAAAAATGGAGTTTAATGTCACGATACACTTTTGTAGCTCCTGGATAAAAAGAATATGGGGTATTATGTGCTTCAGCATAGATCTCAGTTCGAAGAACTGACTCATTCGGTACATAAATTCAATTACGAAATAAAATTACTCCATCTTCTGCTATGTGGTACATTAAGTCTTTACCATCCAGAATCTACTGACAAACTCGTTTTAGGGTTGGATTAAGCAATTGTTGTTCCCTGATATGTTCTTGTAATGTAGGTTGAGTTGTGAGATTCATATTTTCACTGGTTTCCAAGTTAAACAATTGAACCTCTCGTTGTAATTGTGCTGGTAACTTATTTCCATGAAAGGTCTTTCGACTGAGGGCATCAGCTACAACATTAGCTTTTCCAGGATGATAATTGATAGTACAATCATAATCCTTGACTAACTCAAGTCATCACCTTTGTCGCATATTCAACTCCCGTTAAGTAAAAAAGTACTTCAAACTCTTGTGTCATCTGTATAAATCTCACAACATTCTCCATAAAGATAATGCCTCCAGATTTTCAATGCAAACACCACAGCTGCTAATTTTAAATCATGAGTAGGGTAATTCTTTTCATATTCCTTCAATTGGCGTGAAGCATAAGCAATAACCCTACCATTTTGCATTAAAACACGGCCAAGTCCATTTCTAGAGGCGTCACTATACAACAAAAATTTTTCAGAGGTAGACGGAAGAGCTAGTACCAGTGCTGTAGTTAGCCTCTTCTTAATTTCTTGAAAACTTCGCAAGGTACTCCTTTTCGAGTTAATTGACTTAATGGAACTACAATCCTTGAAAGTCCCTCAACAAAATGACGATAATATTTTGCAAGTCCCAAGAAACTTTGAACTTTCGGGGCATTTGTTGGTCGTGGCCAATTTGTTACAGCTTTGATCTTGCTTAAGTCAACGGAAATCCCGTTTGCAGAAACCACATGACCAAGAATACCACTTGCTTAAGCCAAAGGTAAAAAGCTTATTGGCTCGTAACATAGATAGAGTCTGACGTTAATATTGATCTTGTTCTACTTCACTCTTAGAATTAATAAGAATATCATCAATAAAAACAATAATGAATTTATCTAAATATTCCTTGAAAACTTGATTCATTAAGTCCATAAAAGCAGCAGGGGCATTAGTTAAACCAAATGGCATGACCAAAAATTCATAATGCTCATATCTAGTACTGAAAGCAGTTTTCGATATATCTTCTTCTTTAATATTTAATTGGTGATATCCAGAACGTAGATCAATCTTGGAGAATATTATGGCACCTTGAAGTTGGTCAAACAGGTCATCCATCTGAGGAAGAGGGCACTTGTTCTTGACTGTCACTTTATTCAGTTCTCGATAGTCAATACACATTCTTATTGTTCCATCCTTTTTCTTAACAAACAAGACTGGAGCACCCCAAAGAGAAAAACTTGGGCGAATGAATCCCTGATCTAGCAATTCCTGCCATTGTAATTTTAACTCTTTGAGCTCTGTAGGTGTCATACGATATGGGGCTTTTGATGTTGGACGAGTGCCAGGAATTAGATCGATGGTAAACTCAATTTTTCGATCAGGTGGTAGTCCAGGCAACTTTTTGGGAAAAACATCAGGAAATTCTCGAACTATTGGAATTTTATCTAAAGCAGCGATTTCTAGTTTGATTTTAGTATTATGGATATGGACCAAATAACCTTAACCACCTTTTCGTATCATCTTCCATGCTCTAATGGCTGATATTAACAAAGCAGATAAAGGTTTAACCATTCCTTGGAAGGCTACTAATTCACCATTAGGAGGGTGTTTGGTAGGAATTTTTATGTGAAAATGCATTTTTGAATAATAAATTGATGGTGTGGTTGAAAAATAAGAAAAAGTTTTTGATTTACGTGTAATATTATTTTAATAAAGAATGTGTGGTTGAAAAAAAGAGAGAAAAATGTATTTTGATAAAAATGGGTGCCAAACAGGGCCTAGATAAATGAAAAGTAATGATTTTCCTTGAACAATCTAGATTGGCTCGATACTTTGACAGCCAATCCATACCCATGATGACTTCATAATCTCTCATATCCAAAAGAATAAGGTTTGCAGGAAGAAAATGATTGTTAATCATCATCTCACAATTATTTATTATTTCTTTAGTTCGTAATGTTTGGCTCGATGGCATAAGTACCTCTAACTCAGACTTCAATCTATCAGTTAGCAAATGAGTCTTTCTAACCATGCTAATAGATATAAATGAATGGGAAGATCCAGAATCAAATAAAGCATAAGCAAAAATTTTAGCAATAGGAAGCTTACCAGCAATGACTGCTGGATTGTAGCCTGAAGTACTTTCATTCGTGCATAAACCCTATCAATAGCAGAATTTCCATCGCCATTGAGTTTCTCCGTGCAGACACGTGAAATGTGTCCTTGTTTACCACAATTATAGCAAGTAATACACGAGCAAGTGTGAACCTTGTTACACTTAGGGCATATTGCACTACCCACTAGGTGACTGTCGAGATGTGGCTTCTTTCCAGAATTACCATTTGAAGGCCGAACATTATTTCTAGGTTATTGTTTAGAAGAAGGTCCTTTCTTTATATAATTTGAATTTTGCCTCTCTGCCAATGAGGCCATTTATGGAAATTAGAACAATGCTGCTCTCGTACTCCAACAATACGACTCTCTGCTTGCTCCGCTTCTAATGCTCGCTCTGCAATAGTTGCAAAGGTTACTCTCTGGGTGCCTACTATCTTCACATCCCAATATAAGTCCGATTAGAGTCCTTCAATAAACCATTCCACCTTATGCTCATTAGTGCTGACTATATGAGAAGCAAAACGAGAGAGTTCCTCAAATTTTCTAATATACTCTCCAACAGACATAGTCCTTTATCGCAGCTGAATAAACTCATTTAACTTTTGCTGTCTAGCAGCTGCGGTAAAATATTTATTTAGAAAGAGTTCCTTAAATCGAGTCCATGTCATAGAATCTACGATCTCAATGCTTTGTATCGTATCCCACCAAAATCCAGCTCTACCTCATAGCATAAACCAGCACAATTTACCTTTTCAACATTTGGAACTCTACTATATTTAAACATGTTCTTCGTCGTACGTATTCACTCTTCTGCTTTCATTGGTTCAAAAGTTCCATAAAAAATGGGAGGGTTTAATTTCCTAAATCTTTCTCCAGCATTCTCATCAATTCTTGGAGCTGGTGCAGCTTGCATATGTTGAATAAGTTGTTGTGACTGGGTCTCCACTAACGCTGCCAAACGCTCGATTACGGCGTCTCGATTATTTCCATTAGTCGTAGATTCACTTGCATCAGCCATCTAACATAAAATGGACTTTAAGATAGTGACTAATAAATGTACCCTTAAATATTGATAGAACAAAAATCTAAACTCATTTATGAAAATTTTTTTGCTTTAATAATCCTTAAGACAAACTACGTATTCTCTATCTTAAATAGGATGCTTCCCTTAGTATGATCAAACTTATACTTCTCACTAGCGATTCAAAACATAACTTTATTAAAGAAATTTAGTAAAAGAAATTTCTTAAATAATAAACATACATACCAGCATGCCGACGTTTACTCAGCCCCCAGTTATACATGTTAAGTTTTCAGGATGTTATCAAAATCTTGGCTCTGATACCACTCCAATTATACTGTGACACTCTACTCTTAATTTCTCTAATTTATTTATTTTTATTCTTAGATTAAAATCATATTAAACATTTTGCAGTAAAATCAAAATATATCAAGAAAATCAAATTTCATAATACAAAGAGTTAAAAGAACCGTCAAAAAACAAAATTCTCTTTTGGTATAATATAAACTTGACGGTTCTTTTAACTCTTTGTATTATGAAATTTGATTTCCTTGATATGTTTTGATTTTACTGCAAAATGTTTAATATGATTTTAATATAAGAATAAAAATAAACAAATTAGAGAAATTGAGAGTAGAACGTCACAGTATATTTCAAAACAACAAATGAGATAATATTATTTTGAATCCACTTCTACTGAAATATTTCCTAGAATTTTTAGAAAATCATTCTTAAAGATAAGAAAAAATCGTATCAAGAATGAAGTCAGCACAAAACATAACAAAAACAGGATAGCGATTTTGTTATTCTCTTCTACCTTATTTTATCTGTTCTTTTCTTTTCTTTCTTCACTTTTTTAAGGTCAATTAATGACAGCATTAACACCTTATCTCGGGACAGACTGGACAGTAGGGATTGGTGTCATACACGTAGAAACCAAGCCTCATAGATTAGCCCCGTTTGGCCCATTAAATTAATTTTTCTCTCTTCTATTT